CCACTGTTTTTCAACATAATACTGGAAGCCCTAGCCTCAGCAATCAGATAACAACAACAAAAAATAAAAGGCATACAGACTGGCAAGGAAGTAATCAAACTTTCACTTTACAGATGATACTCTACATGGAAAACCTGAAAAACTCCACCAAAAATCTACTAGAACTGACATATGAATTCAGCACAGTCTCAGGATATAAAATCAACTTTGAGAAATCTGTTGCATTTCTATATACCAATAATGAAGCAGCAGAAAGAGAAATCAAGGAATTGATCTCATTTACAATTGCACCAAAACCTATTAGATACTTAGGAATAAACCTAACCAAAGAAGTGAATATCTGAATGCTGAAAACTATGGAACATTTCTTAAAGAAATTAAAGAAGACACAAAGAAATGGAAAAACATTCCATGCTTATGGATTAGGAGAACAAAAATGTCTGTATTACCCAAAGCATTCTACACATTCAATGCAATCCATATCAAAATAACATCAGCATTCTTCACAGAGCTAGAACACAATTCTAAAATTTGTATGGAACCAGAAAAGACCCCAAATAGCCAAAGCAATCCTGAAAATGAAAACTAATTCCAGACTTCAAGATGTACTACAAAGCTGTAATCATCAAGAAAGTATGGTACTGGCACAAAAACAGACACTTAGGTCAATGGAACAGAATAGAGAACCCAGAAATGGACCCACAGATGTATGGCCACCTAATCTTTGGCAAAGCAGGAAAGAGCATCCAATGGAAAAAAGACAGTTTCATCAGCAAATGGGAAAACTGGACAGTTACATGCAGATGAAACCTAGACCACTTTCTTATACGATATGCAAAACTAAACTCAAAATGGATGAAAGACCTAAATGTAAGACAGGAAGCCATCGAAGTCCTAGAGGAGAAAACAGGCAGCTACTTCTCTGACCTCAGCTGCAGCAACTTCTCACTAGACACATCTCCAGAGGCAAGGGAAACACAAACAAAAATGAACTATTAGGACCTCATCAAGACAGAAAGGTTCTATAGAGCAAAGGAAACAATCAACAAAACTAAAAGGCAGCCTGTGAAATGGGACAACATATTTGCAAATGACATATCAGATAAAGGGTTGGTATCCAAAATCTATAAAGAACTTATCAAACTCAACACCCAAAAAAAAAAAAAAAAATTAATAGTAATCCAGTGAAGAAATGGGCAAAAGACATGAATAGATACCTCTCCAAAGAAGACATCTAGATGGCTAACAGACACATGAAAAGATGCTCAACGTCATTCATCATCAGGGAAATACAGATCAAAACCACAATGAGCTACCACCTGACACCTGTCAGAATGGCTAACATTAACAACCCAGGCAACAACAGATGTTGGCAAGGATGCGGAGAAAGAGAATCTCTTTTGCACTGCTGGTGGGAATGCAAACTGGTGCAGCCACTCTGGAAAACAGTGCAGAGTTGCCTCAAAAAATTAAAACTAGAACTATCCTACGACCCAGCAATCACACTACTACATATCTATCCAATGAATACAAAAATGCTGATTTGAAGGGGCACATGCAACCCAACGTTTATAGCAGCACTATCAACAACAGCCAAATTATTGAGAGTCCAAAAGCCCATTGACTCATGAATGGATAAAGAAGATGTTGTGTATATATACAATGGAATATTACTCTGCAATCAAAAAGAATGAAATCTTGCTATTTGCAACAATGTGGATGGATCTAGAGTGTATTATGCTAAGAGAGATAAGTCAGACAAAGACAAATATCACATGATTTCACTCATCGGTGGATTTAAGAAACACAACAGATGAACATAAGGGAAGGGAAGGTAAAATAAGATAAAACCAGAGAGGGAGGTAAACCATAAGAATCTTTTTTTTTTAAGTTTATTTATTTTGAGAGAGAGAGAGAGAGAGAGAGAGAGAGAGAGCATGAATTGGGGAGGGGCAGAGAGAGAGGGAGAGAGAGAATCCCAAGCAGGCTCTGTGCTGTCAGCATGGGCCTGACATGGGACTCAATCCCACAAACCATGAGTTCATGACCTGAGCTGAAACCAAGAGTTGGACACTTAACTGACTGAGTCACCCAGGCACCCAACCATAAGAAACTGTTAAATACAGAGAACAAACTGAGGGTTGCTGGAGGGGAGGTAGGTGGCAGGATGGAACAAATGGGTGACGGGCATTAACGAGGGCACTTGCTGGGATGAGGACTGGGTGTTGAAAGGGCGGGCCTACGCCAGCTGACTCCATCTTGTTCTGTGTCCTTCACCTAGACCAGCCTCCTCCCCTTGAGTAACCTCCGCTCACCCATTCAAACTTCCTGATCAAAACATGCCCAGTGACCTTCGTAACAGGACTCCGACCCTTCCCCAGCCAATCAGCTGAGGCCACAGCCATTACCTCACCAACTGCCCCTAGACCCCTATAAAACCTTTGTCCTTTTGAAACTCGCTCTCTCTCCCCGGTATCTCACCGCTGCGTCGGTGCAGGTAGGGGATTGAGCTCGAGCTAGCTCGAATAAAGGGTCTTTTGCTTTTGCATCTGACTCGGCTCCCTAGTGGTCTTTCTGGGCATAACAGGTGTTATATGTAAATGATCAATCACTAAATTCTACTCCTGAAACCAATACTACACTACATGTTAACTAACTTGAATTTAAATTTAAAAACCCCTCTGAATTATAGCACCATGCTTATGTTGCTGAAATGCCTCATTTCACCTACGCAAGCAAAAAGCAGTAAGCAGTGGGGGTAGGGGTGCCTGGTTGGTTGAGTTGGTTGAAAATCTGACTCTTGATTTTGGCTCAGATCCTGATCCCAGGGTTGTGGGATCGAGCCCTACGTGAGTGTGGAGCCTACTTAGGACTCTGTCTCTTTCTCTCTCTCTCCCCGCTTTGCCCCTCTCCCCAGCCTGAGCCCTCTCTCTCTTAAAAAAAAAAAAAAAAAAAAAAAAAAGCAGTACGGGTAGTAATTCTGTATCTACAAAGTAACAGACGACCAACGTTAAAACAGACATCAAGGTCTCCTGACATATCTGCAACAATAATTTTGATCCTCTGCATTATATTTTAGTTCATGTGAATGTTAAAACATAACTCTCGACAGCTGTGTTTTTTCCATAATTGAGGCTGCAATTGACTTCAGCTAGTTTCCTTTGTTCATGTAGCAAAGCATGTTGCACTTTTACCATTGTCTCCTTCCCCTTTGGTGTTACTCCCTTCTCTGCCCTCTGCTTCACTTGTCTGCCTGATTTCCTTTCTCACTTCACTTCCCCCTTCTTCCACTTCCTTGCCACTGTATAAATACTGAAGACTATGAATAATCAAGTAGCTGTTTGCTAAGTGACTGCATATTGGGAAGAAAACCAAAAGAATGTACTAATTTTTTAAAATGACTGAATTCTGGGGCGCCTGGGTGGCGCAGTCAGTTAGGCGTCCGACTTCAGCCAGGTCACGATCTCGCGGTCCGTGAGTTCGAGCCCCGCGTCGGGCTCTGGGCTGATGGCTCGGAGCCTGGAGCCTGTTTCTGATTCTGTGTCTCCCTCTCTCTCTGCCCCTCCCCCGTTCATGCTCTGTCTCTCTCTGTCCCAAAAATAAATAAACGTTGAAAAAAAAAATTAAAAAAAAAATAAAACAAAATGACTGAATTCTAAGTACTTTTTATATGGCTATATCACCTTAAATTGACATTGAATAAGCAATTAAGATGGAACTTTTAAGGACTAACATTGATAATAAATAATATAACATAATAATATAAATATTAAGAAAAAGCCTTCCAGGTAAGGGAAAACAGCTGACCGCAAACTGAAATGTACTGCAGAAAAATAACCTGAAACACTGATCAGCCCACTTTGTCATTCAGATTTAACACAATCAGCTGCCTCTAAATAGTAAATTCTAACACAGACCTCAAGGATTACAAATGAAACATCAGGTCAGGAAAATTTAAAAAACTTCAAGGTCAAAAATTAGAGGACACCTAGGTAAAACATTAAGACACGCGTGTCTTTTTCTTAACAGGACGGATTTGCTAACGATGACTAAGCCAAAATCCACTGTAAAGCTGCAGCAGGCAAGTATCAAAACTTCCCCACGGAACCCTGACTTTGTTTCAAAAAGCAGAACAAGCTCTGATTAACTGTGTCCTACAGCAAAAGCGGAAGTAAAAATTTTAAGGTGACAGTACCTCTGAAAAGTCATAAGGAGATACTGAGTTTAAACACTACTTAAGTATCATCACAAGAATTTTGTGTCCTAGAATTATAGAGATCCTCGAATCCACTGTTCTGCAAAATATGGCACATTCATCTTTGTGACTCAAGGTCTCAACCCAGACCGACTGCATCAGACTCTCAGGGGATGGCACTCAGGAATCTGCACGGTCAACAAATATCTCAAGTGATTGTCACTCACGTGAAAGATTAAGAACTGCTAATGTAGCTGAATCCCCTCCATTTGCCAATAGACAGAGGAACATGAGGTTAAGCCATGTTGGAAAACCCTGTAAAATCACTCGCTAACCCGCTTGTTAGGGAAAATGGGAAGACTAACATGCTGATCCCTGGACCCTCGGGCCAGGGTTCCTTCTGCTCCTCCATTCTGCCAATCAGACTGATCAGAATTCAGAGCACGATTGGAACCCTTAGGGAAATACAACAGAAATCCAAGCTCCAGTTATACAGTTTCTGGATTTAACAGAGTGCCTCCTATGTAATGCACTTCCTGCTTCACCCTGCTGTTTCCATATGGAAAAAACATCAACGGTGTGCTCAGGGAGGAAACCAGTGTGGATATGAGGCATTGCTACATCATTTCATTTGAGGATTCGTCCCACCACGGCGAATCTTAATTTTTGAGGCCCAAGCGAGCAACAGCAGAGTACATGTGCCAAATTTCAAGTGGAGGATTTCAGCAGTTCAGAGGCTGGTCGGGGAGGGTAGGAAGGAACGTTCAAACTAAAATATAATTTATGGTTTAAAACCAATGCTCACAGATGCATCCAGAAGTGTTTGTTCCCTCATTGCTTCCTCTTGTCTTTGAGATTTCAGCTCTTGTTGGAGACTTTCATTTTCAAGCACAACTACTTGTACCCTGTTTTTCATTCCAGAGAGTTCCTCCTGTAAAAAGCAGAAACAAATAGCAAATGCAGTAAGCGTTTTTAAGCACTGTTAATTGCTGTTTACTAAATGATCCAACATGCTATAAAGCATGGAAAACTTATGCTCTCTATCCATTTTCTGAATTATTATATTTAGAGAAATAAAGCAACTCAAACACTAGCTAACAAACAAACAAACAAACAAAACAAGAGGCTAGGGAATACAGTAGAGGGTCTGCTAATGGCCGTATCACAGAAATGTGTGATTTCTGACAATTTTTTTGTAGGCTTCAGAAAGGCTTTAATTAAAGGGCTTATCTAAAAGACTTTTAAGAATAAGGTAGACTGCTGAAAAATAAGATATATTATTATTCATGCTCAAATGCTAATAACTTGTTGAACCCCAGAGTGATTAAAGAGATAACAGGACTCTGAGACAGAAAGGCATGGAAAGTTGGAATAGTTATCCATGAATTGGTAGCCAGATGGAGGGAAATTATGAGTGACATAGTTTGGCAGAGAGTTCTTTAAGAGAGCTTCCTTAGCCTGGTGAGGAATAATACAAATGATTACAGATAAATAACAATTAGAATAGCTATTGAGTGGCGTCTCACTCTCTGAAAAAAATGTCACACAAAAAAAAATCAATGCACTGATGGTACAATATTTACCTTAATCTTCATTACCAGTATAATAAAAAAAAACATATTAAGCAATATATGCAAATTCTATTTCAATTATTTTGTTCAGAAAAAAACCCAAAAACCAAATCTGAGCTTGAAAGCTATAATTAAAAAAACATTGCAGACTTGCAATTTTTGGTCTGGCATATAATGAGCTTGGAAGACACCATTCTCATCTTTGCAACAAGAGAAAAGCTGAACAAACCAAGAAATCAACCACTCTTCTGAAATCCGTCAGAGAACTGAGGTCACAGGGAAAACTTCCATCCACGAAATTTGAGAGACAGACCAGTCTCTGAGCATCACAACCTACCTGAGCAGAAACTTCCAGGGAAACCAGTACCAGGAGAGGGAAAGGTCAAGTGCGATTGGTGAAATGCCAGAAGCTCAGGGTGGACCAGTTTGAGAGTTAAAAATGCCAGAAAGACCCAGTCACAGTTTTGTGGGTTTTATCTTTAGGACACTACCAGGTCCTTACAGTAAAGACTAGAGACAAATGCCCTCAATCTTCTCTAGTAGGAGAGGAAAAATAGCTACCGTGAAGTATGCCCAAAGCATTCTATTCTTAGAAAGGCCTGCCTCGAGAGAAACTATTTTACCAGAGCCTAAACAGCTAGGGCTTTTCAGAACCTACGTGACCTGAGGGAAGGGAAATACCCAACTCCAGCTCACTCAAGCCTTCTCACTGCACGTTAGATGAGAGGGTGAGGCCACTTGGGTGGCTCAGTTGGTTAAGCATGTAACTCTTGATTTCAGCTCATGTCATGATCTCATAGTTCGTGAGTTGAAGGCCCACCTCGGGCTCCACGCTGACAGTGCAGAGCCTGCTTGGGATTCTCTCTCCCTCTCTCTCTCTGCCCCTACCCCCATGCATACTCTCTCTCTCTCAAAATATATAAATTGAAAAAAAAAAAAGATGAGAGGATGACTGAGAAGCACTTGTGAAGGTCAAAGCTAAGGGGCACAGACTCATTAAAAGATGGAAACCTGGGGCGCCTGGGTGGCGCAGTCGGTTAAGCGTCCGACTTCAGCCAGGTCACGATCTCGCGGTCCGTGAGTTCGAGCCCCGCGTCGGGCTCTGGGCTGATGGCTCAGAGCCTGGAGCCTGTTTCCGATTCTGTGTCTCCCTCTCTCTCTGCCCCTCCCCCGTTCATGCTCTGTCTCTCTCTGTCCCAAAAATAAATAAAAACGTTGAAAAAAAAAATTAAAAAAAAAGAAAAAAAAAGATGGAAACCTAACCATACAACTATAAAATGCCTCCCTTGCTCCCACATCTAACCACCACATCAAAAGGGTGTCTGTAAAATAACAAAGGAATACAGTAAAATTACACATCTCAGAGTATATATAAGAAGAATTCTCAAGGGAAGCCCAAAGATAACAGGGGAGACATAAACCAGGACACTAGAGGAAATTTTAGCCTCTGACACCTATAATAACACAAAACAGTAAACACAGCCCAACTCCTACCAAGAAAAGCATAATATCTCACACTAAAAAACTATTCCCTCAGTTCCTTCTACTATATCATGTCCAGTATTCAACAAAAAATTAGAAAGCACATGAAAAGACAGCACAGTTTCAGGAGACTAAGCAAGCTCAGAACAAGACTTGAATATGGCAGTGATCTTGGAATTATGAGATTGGGAGTTTAAAATAATTATGATTGATACATTAAGTGTTAAAGGGTCTGATGGGAAAAGTAGACCACATGCAGGAACAGATGGGCAATATAAGCAGACATGGAAACTCTAAGAAAGAATAAAAGTGCTGGAAATCAAAAACACTGTAATGGAGATGACAAATGCCTTTGATGGGCTCATTAATAATAGACTGGTCACAACCAAGAAAAGAATCAGTGAGCTTAAAGAACTGCCAATAGAAACTTCCCAAAAGTAAATACAAAGAGAACAAAGAATGAAAAAGACAGAAGAGAAGATCCAAGCAATGCGGGACAATTATAAAAGGTGACAAAAGGGAAAATATTTGAAGGAATAATGACCTAGAATTTTCCAACATGATAGTCACCAAACACAGATCCAGGAAGCTCAGAGAACATCAAGCAGCAACAATAACAACAACAAAAAAAAATCGGGGTGCCTGGGTGGCTCAGTCAGTTAAGCGTCTGACTTCGGCTCAGGTCATGATCTCGTAGTTCATGAGTTTAGGCCCCGCGTCAGGCTCTGTGCTCAAAGCCAGGAACCTGCTTTGGATTCTGTGTCTCCCTCTCTCTCTTCCCCTCACACTCTTGTCTCTCTCTGTCTCTCAAAAATAAATAAATGTTAAAAAAGAATTTTAAAAAATCTATATCTATGCATAGTATATTCAAAGTGCAGAAAGTCTATACCTATAGAGAAAGGTATAGGGGAGCTCAGAGAACATCAAGAAGGATAAAATAACAAAAAAATCTACACCTATGCATATCACATTCAAAGTGCAGAAAATCAAAGACAAACAGAAAATCTTCAAGGAAATCAGAATTTAAAAAAAAAAAGCAACCTTACTTACAGAGAAGATAAGAATTATATTGGACTACTCTTCAGAAACCATGTAAGCAAGAAGACAATGGAATGAAATATTTAAAGTATTAAAAGGAAAAAAAACCCACCAACCTAGAATTGTATATTCAGGCAAATTAACCTTCAAAGGTGAGGGGGAAAATAAAAACTTTCTCAGATAAATAAAAATTGGGGAAATTTGTCTTCAGCAGACCTGCCTTGCAAGAAATGTTAAAAGAACTTCTTCAGAAAGGAGGAAAATGATACAACTTATAAGTTCAGGTCTACATAAAAAAAAGAAAGAGCATTTGAAAAGGATTATATGCTGATAAAATATTTTATTTTTCTTAATATTAACTGATCTAACATATAACAGTTTGCTCAAATCACAGTAGTAGCACTATATATAGTGATTACAGTGTATGAATAATTGAAATGAATGCCAGCAATGTTGTAGAGGACAGGAGGGAGGGATTGGAAACACTCTCTTACAAGGACCTTGCCCTACCCATGTAGTGGTATAGAGCTATTTGACAACAGCCTTTGATTATTGATCAGTGTGACTGCAAACTCAAGGGCAGCTACTTACAAAAGTAAAAATAGTTCACCTGGTATGCTAAGAGAGGAAAAAACTGCAATCATATAACATACTCACTTAAAACCAGAGAAGGCAAAAAAAGAGTAGAAGAGAAGGAAGGAAGGAAGGAAGGAAGGAAGGAAGGAAGGAAGGAAAGAAAGAAAGAAAGAAAGAAAGAAAGAAAGAAAGAAAGAAAGAACAAACAAGGGCAATGAGTAGAAAACAGTAACAAATATGGTAGATATTATCCAACTATATCAGTAATAACTTTAAATGTCCATGGTCTGAATACACCAATAAAAATCAGAGACTGTAAGAGTGAATGACAAACAGTACACAAGTATATGTTGTCCATAAGAAGTCGACTTTAAATATAAAGACACAGATTGATTAAAGGTAAATGGATAGAGAGAGATATACCATGCTAACACAAATCAAAAGAAAGCTGGAGTAGCTACATTAATTTCACACAAAACAGACTTCATACCAAATAAAAATATAAGGGATAAAAAGGAGCATCACACAGTGATAAAGGGGTCAATTCTCCCAGCAGACATAATAATCCTCAACGTGTTTGTGTCTAACAATAGAGCATCAAAATACACGATACAAAAACTGATAGAACTGTACAGAGAAACAGAGGAATCCACTATATAAGCTGGAGATTTCAATATCCCTCTGTCAATAACTGAAAAGACCCAGAGATCTTGCAGATTGGCAAAATATCAGTAAGAATATAGTTGAACTGAACAGCACCATCAATCAACCGGATCTAATTTGGCATTTACAGAACACTTTATTCAACAACAGAATACACATTCTTCTCAAGCTAACAGAACATTTCACCAAGACATACCAATCACATCCTGGGTGTAAAAACACACCTTAACAAATTAAAAAGAATAGAAACCATAAAAAGTATGTTCTCAGATGACGATGGAATTAAACTAGAAATCAATAACAGAAAGAGAGTTGGAACACTTCCAATATACTTGGTAATTAAACAACATTTCTTCTTAATTTTTTTTTAATGTTTATTCATTTCTTGAGAGAGGGAGAGAGAGCTAGAACCAGGGAGGGGCAGAGAGAGAGAGAGAGGGAGATACAGAATCTAAAGCAGGTTCCAGGCTCCGAGCTGTCAGCACAGAGTCCAAGGTGGGGCTTGAACTCACAAACCACGAGATCATGACCTGAGCCAAAGTCGGATGCTTAACCGACTGAGTCACCCAGGCGCCCCTAAACAACACTTCTAAATAATATA